GAGCCTCCATCCTGGCCCCCTTTGGCCCTCACAAACCTGCTGCCCACGTGCCGGGTTTTCTTCCCCTGGTGGTCTTTTGGTCTGTCCCCACTGTAGGACTCAACACCCAGAGGGCTAGGACTGTGACTTGTGCCCTTGGTATCACATGTGACATGAGCCTGACATGTGGATAGTTACATGTGTGGCATGAATGAATAAGTGAACAATTATGTCTTTTAAAAAATTTTAATATTAAATTTATTTATTATTTTTTTGAGTTGGAGTCTCTGTCGCCCAGGCTGGAGTGTAGTGGCATTCTCATGGACACGTCAGTATCAACCTGCTGGGCTCTGGCAGTCCTTCCGCCTCAGCCTTCCAAGTAGATGGAACTATAGGCATGCACTACCACGCCTGGCTTATTTATTTATTTTTTGAGTTGGAGTCTCACTCTGTCGCCCAGGTTGGAGTGCAGTGGCACAGTGCTCACGTCCACTACAGTCTCAACCTGCTGGGCTCTGCGATCCTTCTGCCTCAGCCTTCAAAGTAGTTGGAACTACAGGTGTGTGCCACCACGCCCAGCTAATTTTTTAATTTACTGTAGAGATGACGTCTCACTACGTTGCCCAGGCTGGTCTTGAACCCCTGGTCTCAGGCAGTCTTCTTGCCTCTGCCTCCCAGAGTGCTGGGATTACAGGCGTGAGCCATCACGTCTGGCTATTTATTGAGTTGGAGTCTCATTCTGTCGCCCAGGCTGGAGTGCAGTGGCATGCTCACGGTCACTGCAGCCTCAACCTGTTGGGTTCAGGCGATCCTTCCACCTCAGGCTTCCAAATAGCTGAAACCACAGGTGCATGCTACCATGCCCGGCTAATTTTTTTATTTATTGTAGAGATGAGGTCTTTTCAAGTTGCTCAGACTGGTCTAGAACCCCTGGGCTCAGGTAATCCTCTTGCCTCAGCCTCCTAAAGTGCTTGGATTATGGGAGTGAGCCAGCACACCTATTTTTTTATTTTTTGAGTTGGGGGTCTCACTCTTTCACCCAGGCTGGAGTGCAGTGGCATGATCATACCTCACTGCAGCCTTGACCTCCTGGGCTCAGGTGATTCTCTCTCCTCAGTCTCCCAAGTGGCTGGTATTATAGGCATGAGCCACTGTGCCTGATCAACAATTACCTCTTGATCATCAGTATAGGGCATAGAATGGGAGCATTCATACCACATGGTTTGACTTTTTTGACCAAGCCCCCATTTCTTGATGGAACTACTCAGCTCAGGGTGGGAGCCAAAGTCTGAGTTGCAATGAGAACTGCTCTGTGAGAATTCAGGGAGGTAGCCAGGTGTGGGAGGTCACAGCCACTTTGGGAGGCCGAGGCAGAGCAGAAGAATTGCTTGAGCCCAGGAGTTTGAGACCAACCTGGGCAACACAGCAAGAGCCCATCTTTAAAAAAAAAAAAAAAAAAAAAAAAAATTAGGCCAGGCACGGTGGCTCAAGCCTGTAATCCCAGCACTTTGGGAGGCTGAGGCGAGAGGATTGCTTGTGCTCAGGGGTTCTAGATCAGCCTGAGTAACTTGGTGAGACCTCGTCTCTACAATATATAAAAAAATAAGCTGGGCATGGTAGTGCATGCCTGTAGTTCCAGCTACTTGGAAGGCTGAGGTGGAAGGATCGCCTGAGCCCAGCAGGTCAAGGCTGTGATAGCTGTTAGCATGCCACTGCACTCTAGCCTGGGCAACAGAGTGGCATATGTCTGTAGTCCCAGTTACTAGGGAGACTGAGGATTGCTTGAGCCCAGGAGTTGGATGCTTCAGTGAGCTATAATTATGCCACTGCACTCCAGCCTGGGCAACAGAGTGAGACCCTGTCTCCTAAAAGAAACAAAAACCCCATATATTATGTAGGTACGAAGAGGCAAGGATTGGCCACCATGTGAGATAAGAGAGGTGAGAGGACTCAGCCTGACCCTCAGGCAGGAGAGGCCCTGTGTGAGGGCGATTTTGGGGGTTGGCACAAGACTGGGTGAAAGAAAGGACTAATGGAACGAGGAGAGGAACTGTGTGACCTTGCAAATGGACCAGGCAGGGTTTTCCGGAGAAACAGAACCAGCAGGGACACACCTACTCCTCTCCCCCCGCCAACATATGCTATATGGAATTGGCTCACACAATTGTGTAGCTGGCAAGTCCCCCAATCTGAAGTCAGTGGGCCAGAGATCTGGGAGAGGCTGCTGGTGTGGCTTCAGTCTAACTACTGCTGCTGGGCTTGAGATGCACGCAAAGCAGATCTCCAAAGGCAGGAAAAAGCTGATGTTCTTGCGGTAGGGCAGGCAGGCAGGCAGAAGGCGCTCTCCTTGCTCATGGGAGGGTCGACCTTTCTGGTTTACCAGGCCTTCGATTGATTGAATGAGGACCACCCGCACTGGGGAGGGTACTCAGCTGGTTTCCTCAGTCTGCCAATTCAAATACTATTCTCATCAGAAACCTCCTCACAGACACACCCAGAATCATGTTTGTCCAAACGTCTGGGCACGCTGTATCCCAGTCAAGTTGACACATAAAATTAGCCATCACAACAAAGCACTGCATATCACTGACTTGCAGTTATAATATCTGTAAATGTGGGGTGGTGGTGGGGCGGATCGGTGTCCAGTGAGGCTCAATGATTGCTAGTAGTGATGATAATGATATCAGGATAGCAGCAGAAAAGGGCCCTGAGATAGAGTGCATTGGGATAGAGAGAGGCGAGTCACTCCCCTCGTTCACTGGTAGGCTCTGGGGGTTAAGCTCTGGCTCCTCCCCTACCTCAGGGCCCCCTCCTTGGGCTCCTTACAGACCCTTCCTTCTCAGTATTTTCTCCTGACCTTTTCCTGGTTTTGTGCAGGCTCCAGAGGAGATGGCTGGTCTGTGGAGCAGGCAGCTGTCTCTTCCCGGGGCCTGGGGGAACTCTCACGGCTGCCCAAGGAGAGGCGCCCACACCTGGGATACAGACAAGGGCTGAATGAAGGCAGAGCTGTGGGGAGGAAGGAGAGGGGACAGGGAACAGATGGAGGGGAGGAGGCCAGCCAGAGGAGGAGGCTGTCAGCTGGGTTTGGAAGAACAGGGTGGGAGGGAAAAACCTATAGGGTGGAGTAGGTGACAGTGGTGTGCCACTGCACTCAAGAGCCCACTGTACCCCTGCCGTTCAAGATGTAATAATCACTCATTTATTCTGGGCTCTGCGTTCAGTGATGTCCTGTAGCCTGAAATCAGCCATGGCAGAAAATTGGCAAATGCTACAGATTTCCCAACTGGAGAGTAGGTGTGAAAACAGTTACCAAGCACGCCACCGGTGGGTGGAGTGTGTTGGAGGGTGGTAGTGCTTGGTGGAGGTGGGCCGAGGAGGCCAGAAAGAGAGCTTCTTCAGTGGTAATGTGCTTGGATTTGAACCCCAGGCTCTGCCATTTACTGTGACCTTGGACAGGTTACTTGACCTCTCCCAGTGTGTTTGTTATCTAGGATTGATTTGTATCAGGTTTAAATATATACGGTACTTCGAATCAAGCCCTTTCTATTCCACTTAATAAAGGTATTCCACTTTCTATTCACTGCTCTTGTTTGGGGCAGGCAACAAGAGCAGTTAGGAAGAATGTCAGGAAAACGAGCATTTTCATCTCTAAGCAGCAACTCAAGGTTGCCTCCTGTTGGAGATGGGTGCATGCCAGGCTCTGCGGGTATTAACAGAGCAAATGGCAAACTCCTGTCAGTCCTGGGCTGCAACCTACATGGAGGACCAAACACGCTCCCAGGAAGTTCCACAGCACTAACAATGCGCTCATATTTATATTACACTTGACAGGTCACACGTTTTTCCATATGGGTTAGCTCCTGGGGTTTCACAATAGCTCCCTGTTTACACGGGAGAGAATCAGAAAGGATGAGTCATGTCAAGGGTCACACCGATGAGCAATGGCAGAACGACAAGCCTTGCAAGAACTGCCCCTACTTTGATCAAGGGAGAGTGCCAAGTCGTGCGATGAACACTCAGAAAGACTAAGCCCTTTTCTCCAGCATCTGTGTGAGTTCAGGGCCAGGGATGCCGTCTACTATGTACGTTGGACAAGCTCAAGTTTTGCCTTCCTCCTCGCAGTCCAGCAGCACACTTGGCGCGGGCACATCCCCAGGTCCTCTCCCCAAAATGTATGCCCCGCATCTTGTGGGGAGCCCAGAGTTGGGGACCGCGTCTCCGTCCCAGGAGCGCGCTCGCAGCCGATGACTTCTCCCAGCCTAGGGAGGCAGCGTAGAACCCATCCGGCCGCTCCTTCCCTCCAGTCTCTATGGCGGAAGTGAGTTGTCCCAGCCGAAACACAACAACATTCTCAGTGGTGGAGGTGAATGGACTCGTCCAAATGAGGGGGATACCTCTCGCCATCAACCTTGAAAATCGAGAGATAGCCAAGAAAAAAGCATCAGCCAGATCAAAGAGCAATAAGTGACGATAATAATATGCTCATTTGCCTGTTCAGGCGATCTGGGCAGCGGCATTCGTGTCGAGGCTCGGTCAAGCTGGGCATGACCCCTGCCACAAGCCCGGGAAGGGTAGCGCCTTCCCGCACGCCGGGGCGGCGCGACTTCCGGTCCCGGCGCGCCTCCTGCCGTGGTGGTCTGGCGCCCGCGGTGAGAGAGGCGGCGTGGCAGGCGGGGCTCGCGTTGGGTTCGGGGAGTTGGGGGCTGTCCTAGCCGTCTGCCCCCTGTCCCGTGCAAGCGCGGGCGGCGGGAGCGAGGGCGCGCCTGGAACTCCCGGGTCCGGCCGGGCTCGGCACGGGGTGCCGCCCCCGAGACACCCGAGGTCCGCGCCTCCCTTGACTCCTGGACAGTGAGGTTCGCGGATGGAGGCGGGGGGAGAAACGGGACCCGGACGGGATGTCCTTCTCGCGCCCTGCCTGAGTCTCTTGATGCGGAGCCACATAGCTTTCTGTGTTTGCTTCTAGTCCGTCTCTTGGGGCCCAGCGCCCGCGCAGAGGTTGGCGCATACCTGCGGAGGTCACGCCTGCGGAGGCCGTACCTAGGCGTGAAGAGCAGGAGGAGGAGGAGGAAGGGCATGACCCGCGTCTGAGGAATCCGTACTCCAGCCTTTACACGTAAGGTGGGAATGGGGGTGCACCGGGCTCCAGCCCGGCTTGAGAAGGCGTCTGTTAGCTTTTGCACTTGGGGGGACCAGGGGGATGAGACTCTCTAGACTCTCTAGCCCTACTCTGGGAACTCCCTTGCTTAGTGTAGGGGCGTGGGGTGGGGTGGGGACGACAACGAGCTCATCACAGATCAGATGTTGTGGGAAGAAGCGTGAGGTTGGCCAGGACTGGTTTCCTGGCGGCGCGGAACCTTGAATAGCACTGAGAATAAGGGAAGAGTCTGGCATGGGGCAGAAAGTGAGGGGATGTGTGGCCTGTGTGAAGGATTGCAGGTGACGCAGTCTGGGGAGTTGTGGAAGAAAGGGGGCTGGACCAGAATTGGGAGCCTCTAGGCGGGAAGCTGCTGGGTGGAGTTAAACTGCAAGGTAGAAGTGAGTAACAGGGCGCTTGGCATCCTTGAACATGCTGGAGAGACGGGCAACCCGGCACATATCTGGAACTCCAGGTGTAGCGTGAATCAAGCAGTTGCTGTGTACCAGCGATTGCTGGCGAATAGAATGTGGTTTCTGCCCTCAAGGAACTGTCCGCCTGGTGGGAGAGAGACAAAAATGAAACCTGATGGTACCTGCTAGCACAGGTAGACCGAGCTGATGGCCAGGTGACAGACAGAGCCAGCCTGATCTCTGAGCAGCACAGGCTACTGTCCTGTGTCTAGTGCTGAATACCACCATGCAAGGGGGCAGAGGCTGGAACACACTGAGAGGAAGCTGTCAGGGCCCCAAGCAGATGGGGTGTGACGTGAGCAGGCTTGTCTCTGGGGACTGGGGTACTTTAACCTGTAGAAGGGATGAGGAGGTGACGGAAGAGCTGCCTCTAAATAAAAGCCCACAGGTGGAAAAGGGGTTTGGCTTATTTTATGTGGCTTTGGATATCAAAACTAAAACCAGTGGTTTGGAGTGCTGAGCGCCAGGTCCCTTCAGGAGAAGGAATAACTGAATGGAACTGCCCCAGGTGGGGTGGGGTGGGGAGAGTTGGTGACTTCCCTGCGGGGGGAGGTTTGTGAGTGGGACACTCAGCTGAGGAGCTCTGTCGTCCCACTCCCTCGGACTCATATTTGGTTATTTAGTAAGTTCTAAATCTCAAGTGGTGTCGCCTTGTGTCATCCATTGGCAGTCACGATAGAATGACGGTTGTAGTAGCCAACACTGGTGAACGTCTACTATTTGCCGGGTACTGCTTTAAGTTTTCTAGATGCTTGCTCATTCCATCCTCTAGACAACCCTTTCAAGGTAGCTAGTATTGTCTCTCTTGTCTATGGGGAGACAGGCACAGATGTTAAGCGACTTGCCCAAGATCACACAAGGTGCAAGTTGTAGAGCTGGGGTTCCAGTCCAGGCTGTCTGGCTCTCCAGGCATTGTTCTTCACTGCTGTTACACTATGTTTTACGTGTGTGGCCTCAATGCCCACTACCGTCCCCAATTTTTTTTTTTTTTGGAGACTCACTCTGTCGCCCAGGCTGGAGTGCAGTGGTACACTCACGGCCACTGCAGCCTCGACCTACTTGGCTCAGGCGATCTTTCTGCTTCTACCTTCCAAGTAGCTGGAACTACAGGTGTATGCCACCACCCTGGCTAATTTTTTTTTTTTTTTTATTAATTGTAGAGATGAGGTCTCCCCATGTTGCTCAGGCTGGTCTTGAATTCCTGGACTCACTCAGTCCTCTTGCCTCTGCCTCCCAAAGTGCTGGGATTACAGGCGTGAGCCACTGAGCTTGGCCTATCCCAATTTGCCCTCAGGCAAACTGAGGTTCAGACTGGTTGAGTGATTAGCTTAAGGTCACAGAGCAAGATGTAGTGGGATTCAAACCCAGGATTGTTGGACATGAAAACCCCCACGCTCTGCACTGCACTTCTCCACACCTGATGGTACTGCTCCTGTGACTGTCACTGCTGTGGTGGACTCTTAATGTTTCTTGGCCCAGGCTTTCTGCCTTATATCTGCAAGTGTTTACCCTGGAGTCTGTGGAGGACCCTGGAAATGCATGCATTTTGGTGTGTGTGTGAGTCAGGTTTGAAAGCCCAGCCTTTGTGGTGGCATTGACTACCTCTTGAAGCAGTTTATTAACCCAAAATAGTTTATAGCCTCTTTGCCCTTCAGCCAGTTAGCCTTCTGAGTCACAGCTTTGATCTCAGCACAGTGATGCCTTGATGCTTCAGCCTCCTCAGGATGTAGTCCAAGTGCCTTAACCTGGACCTTGGGGTCCCAGGTCATCGGACTCCAGTCTTTCTTTTCTCCTTCCTCCCACCTGGTGCTCTCGGCATTGCAGTCATGTCTGCCCGCCCGCATCTTCCCATCCTGTGGCCTCTCAGGGCCGGCCCAACAGGTACTGCATAGCGAGCGTGGGCCGTTCCTGCTCGAGGCCGCGAGGGAGCCCGGGCTCTGGCCGGTTGTCTGGACGGGAGCTTTGGAGCTCTTGCCCTCTCTGACCCTGAGTTTGAGGCTCTCTGATGGCCTGTGCTGCCACAGTGCAGGGATGGGCAGTGGAGGCAGGGGCCGCGTGGAGCTGAGCAGGAGTGGGCAGGTGACACGCAGACAATTCAGAAGTGTCGACATTCTGACCTGCGTGCACTCCTCTTGCAGGGTGGCCCCGGGTGGGGTGAAGCGCCCCGTCTCTGTCCTTGTCACCCACCCTCGTGTGGGCCCCCGGCTGCAGGATGAACTGTCGCTCAGAGGTGCTGGAGGTGTCAGTGGAGGGGCGGCAGGTGGAGGAGGCCATGCTGGCAGTGCTGCACACGGTGCTCCTGCACCGCAGCACGGGCAAGTTCCACTACAAGAAGGAGGGCACCTACTCCATCGGCACCGTGGGCACCCAGGATGTTGACTGTGACTTCATTGACTTCACCTACGTGCGTGTCTCCTCAGAGGAGCTGGACCGTGCCCTGCGCAAGGTCGTCGGGGAATTCAAGGTAGGGTTGTGGCATGGCACAGGGCCTTGAATGCCTTGCCACCCTGGCCTGCTGCTAGGCCAGCTACTCTTCCTGAATATCCAGGAGAAGGGCGAGCAGGAAGCCCTCTCAGCATCGTGGTCAGGCCCCTTGGGGACTGGGTCCCTGTGGTCGTGACCTGTCGGCTGCCCAGTGCTCCACAGACCCTCCTCTCTGCAGCTGCTTCCAGGTTCCTTCCACTTGGCTTTTCCCACATGAAGCCCCCCAGAGGGAGCTGTATTGGCTCGGGTGGCTGCCCTCCGAGGTGGAGTGTACCTTTGGGCTGGGTGGCATGTGTCTGTGTGTGCCTGTTGGACCTGGAGAGCACTGTAGAAGGGACATACCAGGCTGCTGATGCTGGCCACTTCAGGAGCTGGGAATGGCAGCATTGCTTTTCCTGTTGTCTTTGTCCAGAGTCACGGTGTTCCACCCTTACAGGGCGTGGATGTAACAAAGGGGATTTCTCAAGGCGCCCGCTCTGGGGTCAGAGCAGGGAGGCTGTGTGTCTTTCACTTCACAAACATTTGCAGAGCCCTTCTGCTGTGCCCAGCACTGTGTGCTTATGGCAGGGGTGGGCAAGACCCACTCCCAGGCCGCGGCACTCAGTCACCCTCACTAATTCCTCCAGGCCTAGAAAGGGCAGGTTTATGAGAGGTTTCCTAGTCAGCCTGTAAGAGAGGCAGCAGCCCTCGGTCCTCTGGCCTCCAGAGTCCGTGAGAGGCGACTGGAGCAGGAGGTCAAGAACACGGGCTTGGAGACAGGCCCCACCACCCAGCAAGCACTCACCAGTGCCTCAATTTACTTGAAAGTTAAGCTGGAATGATATCATACCTACCTCATAGGGCGTGTGTACTGCAAGGACTAAATGAGTCAACTATGTCCAGTGTTTGGGACAGAGCCTGGCACACGGTGAGCACTACAGAAGTGCTAGCCTTTCAAGGTCACACAACCTTGGTTTGTCTATGTGGGGAGGTCCTTCTCTGATGGGCAGTCAGGATTTGAGGCATCCTTACCCTCTGGGTTGCCAGGAACTGTACACACACTCCCACTGGCTCTTCGATCGCCCCGCGAGGCAGGGCAGTTACGTCCATGGCACCGAGGCAAGTGGGGCTCAGGGAAGCAGGGTGGTCTGCCAGTCACAGTTCTGGGAATGGCTGCACCAGGGTTTGATTCCGGATTGCCTGATTTCATTAATGCTGATGGAAAGGTGCTTCTGGGCCCAGATGCCCAAGGAGGAGGGCCTGCATGCCATGGAGCGGGAAGGGCAGAACCATTGGACTATTTGGTCCTGTTTGCTTTCCAGAGAAGGAGAAGATGGAGAAACAGCCGGGCCTGGTCTGCCCTTGGCCTTCCTTTCCCATTCTGTTCCTTGGCTTCTTTCTAAGCAGGGATCACTAGGCTTTCCAGTCCTTCTCCCAGCTCTTCCAAAAGAGACTGTGAACCGGGGGTGTCCTAATTGAATGCAGTGGAGAAGGCAGATAAACTGAGCTCACCAGGGATGAAGGTGCTGACGAGAGGGAGATGGAGAACATTTTGGAGGGTGGGCCAGAGGGGTGGGGTTGAGGAAGAAGGCCCTTAATGTAAAGCAAAAGAGCAAGAACTTTGAAATCAGACAATCCGGAGTCAAACCCTGGTGCAGCCATTCCCAGAATTGCGACTGGCAGGCCACCCTGCTTCCCTGAGCCCCACCTACCTCGGTGCCATGGAGATAACTGCCCTGCTTCACAGGGCGGTTGAAGAGCCAGTGGGAGTGTGTGTACGGTTCCTGGCACAGTGAGTGCCCACAGACCAGGGGTGACTCCCGTGACTTCAGTCGTTGGCCGAGCTGGAGGAGGTGGACACGGGGCAGATTGTGTCAGCTTGATTGAACAACTCAACCCCAGGCAGGCTGCGGGCTGTCCCTTCACTCATGTCTTTTACCTGCTCTGGACCTCATCTCCTGCACTCCCGGACAGAGTCAGGAGAGCGTGGTTCTCTGGTGCCTGGGAAACGGGTCCTCGCGGGGGTGAACCCTGGGGGCCTCGGCCACTCATCTGTCTCCCTTCTTCCCAGGATGCACTGCGCAACTCTGGCGGCGACGGGCTGGGGCAGATGTCCTTGGAGTTCTACCAGAAGAAGAAGTCCCGCTGGCCCTTCTCAGACGAGTGCATCCCGTGGGAAGTGTGGACGGTCAAGGTGCATGTGGTGGCCCTGGCCACGGAGCAGGAGCGCCAGATCTGCCGGGAGAAGGTGGGCGAGAAGCTGTGCGAGAAGATCATCAACATCGTGGAGGTGATGAGCCGGCACGAGTACCTGCCCAAGATGCCCACACAGTCGGAGGTGGACAACGTGTTCGACACGGGCCTGCGGGACGTGCAGCCCTACCTCTACAAGATCTCCTTCCAGATCACCGATGCCCTGGGCACCTCGGTCACTACGACCATGCGCAGGCTCATCAAGGACACCCTGGCCCTCTGAGCCCCGTGGGGCCTTGGGAGCTTCCTGCGGGCTCCCGGCCGTGGCTTCTGGGATTGTGCTGTGAGGCCCTTGGGGCTCTGAAAAACCCTGGGCCTGGGGGAGACTCCGAGGGGGCAGCCCTGGCTTCCTTGTTTCACGGTCGCCGGGCTCTGGGCATCCCCTTAGCCTTTGCTGTCGGTCAGGCCCTGCCTCACTGTCTCTCCACACCCCTTCTGGGTGCCCTCCTTCATGCTGTACAGAAGATGCTAGGACGGGGAATAAAGTTGGGAATGTGAGCTTGGGTAGAGCCTCCCTTGGTTGGTGTCCAGCATTCTTGTGAGGACACAGGTGTGTGTGGAGAGCCTTGTTCCAAAGTGGGGGAGGGATGGGGCTAAAGAGATTAAACCTGACAGATCTTCCTTTGGTTGGACATTCACGTTAGCAGGTGTTACCCACCCAGATGTGATCGCAGCCAGTCCCCTGAGTGGGCACGGGCTGAGGATCTTTGGCTCTGGGTGGTGAGAGCTCTTTCCTTGCTAAGGAAGCTGTGACATCCCTGGCCTTTGTGTTATCTGGTCTTGCTTTGTGATGGCCCCAAGAACACCCTCTGTGTCTTTGTGGTGCACACGCAGGAGGTCCCCACATGCACCAGAAAGGTCATTTGATGTGAGGGGTCTCTGGAGAGATTGGCCAGCTTGAGACTCTGACATCTCATGACAGGTCTTCTGGGTTGGACTGGCCCTGGCTGGTGGTTAGGGTGCTGCTTTTGTGACTCAGTCTCTTGCACACACACACACTCAGGTCTTTGCTGTGTGCTGTGCTTTTGCCAGTTTATTCCATCTTTTAGGATGCTTTTCAGCTACATCGGGGCAGTTCTAACAAGACTAAATGGATTGTGTGTAGGGGATGAGATGCTGGGGTGAGAAGTGAAGAGGAGGAAGGTTTGTCTTCCCCATGGTCCTGGAGCAAGGAGGTGGTTAGGATGACCAGCGGGTGTTTGCATGTTTTCCCATTTTCAAGTCACCCTTAGCTTTGTGGCATTTCATGACTGAAGTTCTGTGATGTCCTACTCTTGATCTCTGGGGCATCAAGAGTTGGAGGACTCAGGAGGGGGTTTGGGGTGGGCAAGGCCTGTTCCATCTTGTCCTTGACAGCACTGACCCCACCCGGTCCGCTGCAGTCTAGGGTCTTCTGTTTTCCTTCCATCAGGCCATCAACCAACCTAACCCCTCTAGGTGGGGGGTTGACTGGTACAGGCGTTGGCTGGCAGTGACTTTATTCTTTTTTTTTTTGAGTTAGAGTTTCACTCTGTTACCCAGGTTGGAGTGCAGTGGCACGCTTATGGCCACCTCAGTGTCAACCTACTGGGCTCCGGTGATCCTGCCATCTCAGCCTTCCAAGTAGCCGGAACTACAGGCACGTGCTACCATGCCCGGCTAATTTTTTAAAAGTTTATTGTAGAGATGAGGTCTCACCATGTTGCCCAGGCTGGTCTGGAACCCAGGGCTCAGGCAACCCTCTCGCCTCAGCCTCTCAAAATGCTGGGATTACAGGCTTGAGCCACTGTGCCTGGCCTGACTTTACTCTTAGGAAGAGAACTCAAGGCTTTCTCCGGTTTTCCAGGCGACCTAGGCAGGAAGGTCTGGATTCCCTGTCCGCTCTCCCAGTCTCTGCCTTTCTGTAGCCAGACTCTGCTCCGCTCTCCCACCCGGGGTGGGCCGTCGGACTCCCAGCTGGCAGCGGCTGCCCTTGTGGACAGTAACAGCCCCAACCTCTTGGCATTTGATTTCCCTGAGGGCCTGATTGATTCAGGGGCAGGACGGGAGCCCTGGTGGCTCAAATCTGTGCTCTCCCACTGGCCTGTAAATGTGACTCCTGAGAAAGGAGTGGGGTAGGCCTGAGACCCCAGCCACGCAACCTCTCCCTGCTGTTGCGTCTGGAGGCGACACTGGCCTGCGGGTCAGGCCTGGGAAACTCTTGAGGGGAGCGTGGAAGAGGAAGAGCTTGAATCCCTCAGTTCCTGAGTCTGCCCTTTGCTGCATCCCAGCAGCCACCTGGACTACGGGGCAGCTTAGAACTTCGGCCTAGGGACAAAAAGCCTGAGGATGGGGATCACCCTTGTTTGTCTTGGTCGGAGGGGACAGGACCCCGGCCAGTTTCTGGATGTGTCGGGCTCAAATGCACCGGGCGCAGGAGTCCACTCTGCAGGAGCCCTTTGTCTGGGAAGGGCCTGAGCGCTC